TCAATACATGTTAGATTCCCCAAACATTCAGCTTTCATATGCACCTTTTGGATTCATTCTAAGTATTATAGTTTTCGAGAAAATCAATGAAATGTGAAAACACTGCTTTGTCGAGCATTTTTTTCAAATTTGAACTCGAATTACAGCCAAACGGATAAAACCACAGTAATATATGAATACTTGTTACATTCCCCAAACATTCAGCTTTCATATGCATCTGTTGGATTCATTCTATGTATTACAGTTTTCCAGAAAATCAATGAAATGTGAAAACACTGCTTTTCTAGCATTTTTTCAAATTTGAACGCGAATTACAGAGAAACGGATAAAACCACAGTAATACATAAATACTTGCTACATTCCCCAATCATTCAGCTTTCATATGCATCTTTTGGATTCATTCTATATATTATAGATTTCGAGAAAACACTGCTTTTTCGAGCGTTATTTTTTCAACATAAATAAATATAAATACCTTTTCAATGAGTCTCCTTACATCTTCGTGCCGTCATCAATTCGCCTGCTATGAGCTGAAGAAACATATAATAGTTGCATTGGCCAATTTCTTTTGACTAAAATTAATTATACTTTGTTACTTATACTTTATTAAAAAATACAAAAACTTGTTTGCAAAAAAAAAACCATTTCTGTTCCATTAGTTTAAATTTTGATTACTTAACTAATCGTAATCTAAATTCTTGCAATATAAAACTTAAACTATATTGTAAGTGAGAATTATTTATAATTAATGAAATTTTTTTTGCTATCAAATTTTCGTTTCTTTTTCAGTATTTTTCTTACGATTATCACAAGAAAACGATGGGTCCGTCCCTGCTGAAAGGTTACTTCGGATTGGCGGATTCTCTCTACCTGCAACACAACGAGACTTTTCTACCTGCTTTAAGGAGATGCACGACCATAGAAGACGTTTGCTACGCGTTTGAAAAACATGTAAATCATCAACTATAAAAAAAAAACAATTTTATTACTCTACTAATCCTTTTTATTGTCCAATTCTCAGAAAACTATCCTTTCTGAACACATAACCGACGTCTGGGAGAAATCGCTCGAGCTGTACGAGCAGAATTTCTCGAAAGTGAGTTGGATTTTTCACTAAAAACAATATATTTTATTTCAATACAATTTTAATTTGCAGATCATAAATGTTAACAAGGAATATTACGATTTACCGGGCACGCTGATCAAGGATTTCCTGATGGCAATGCGCGCTTTCTGCGTGCAAAAAGAGTTGAGCGAACGTTGGAAAGATGAGATGAGCAGGACATGCAAATTGCTGTTCCAAATCTACACGCAAATCGAGTATATTAAAGCCGGATTGAATCGTATTCAAGGGCATAAGGTTAATATCGAAAAAAAAAAGGATTATTTCTTTGTAACTTTTGTATTTTTTTAGATTAATTTGAAGGAGGCTGGTTACGTGCTCTTCATGGAAAGATGTTACGTTTCGGATATATTGAAGCGACGTTATTTGGACGTTTTCTTAACGCAGAAATTCTTGATTGTTACGGAATTTGATGGGAAATGGTACAACTGTTTGGACAGTATTCCTATCGAATGTTTCGAGATCATCGTGAAGCCTGGAAAGACGACGATGCAAGTGAACTTTGGAAATGCTAACAGGAAACTTTACAAATTGAATTTCATGGATAAAAAAGTCTTCGATCGTGCTTTGAGCTCTTTCCCATCCAATAACATCGTCGAGAGGAAATAGTTTTTTTTACTACCAATAACATATATTTGCTCGTATTTATTTTTACCAAAAAAAATATAGTTTTTACTCTCTATTTATTATGTTAAACTCAAAGCAAACCGCAGTTTGTGATATTATTTTGTCATTAATACAAAACCTAAATAAATATTAACTAATGTATTTGAATCCATGTGAAATTTACTTTTAACTCATTTTTTTGGATATTTTTATGTTTTTATATCATAATTAACAATATATTGAAACAATAAAGATGTTTATTTTTTAATTTTTTTTTTGAAAATTTATGTTTCTTTTTCTCTAAATTTTAACAAAATATTCAATTGAAGAAATAATCCAAATCATTTTTGTAGTAATTATTCAAAAACACTCAAAATCTGTTGCAATTGAAAAAGTATAATGAAACATAGAAAAATTTAAGATTTGAATAGTTTAAAAAGTTGTAAATTTTACTTTAATTATAGAAACTTTTGTATTATAAAAACATTTTTTCTATTATTTCAATAAAGATTGCACAATTTTGTATATTTACTTATAAAATGAAACTTTTATAATGTTAAATCTGTACTTTTCGTAATTATTTAGTAATATATTTTTTCTTTTGTGAATTTTGCAAATTTCCATGAAATTCAATTTAAACAGTTTTAAGTTTATGGTAATCTTCATGCCCAAGATAACGTGTTTGAATTTAGGTAAAAAAGGATGGTTAGAGAAGGGCAGCAGTAAAGATATTGGTAGCAATAAAAACTAGAAATCCTGAAAGAAAAACATTGCGCGAAAACTTCACGTTTGGTATAAAAGGGCGCACGATTTGCGAATCGTCGTCAGAAGAGATTCAGCATTTCAAGCATAAACATGTCCAAGAAGGTGAGTTTCTTCGTAGCTCCGACGACCGTCAAAAATGCTTTCAAACGATCCAACAGTTTGCTGAGATCGAGCTTCAAATCGTCTGAAATGCCTAAGAAACCAGAAGAAACAGTCAACAAACCTGATGAATTACCAGCAGAAGACCAGGTGATGAAACCTGCGAAGAGCAGCAACAAGAGGAAGAATCGTCCGCAGAAGAGGACGATCAACGGTTACGTGGGATTCGCGAATCTACCGAATCAGGTGCACTCGAAGGCTGTGAAGAGAGGATTTCATTTCACCGTGATGGTCGTCGGAGAATCGGGTTTGGGTAAGTCCACCTTGGTGAATTCCATGTTTCTTTCCGATGTGTACTCTTCAGAATATCCGGGACCTTCAGAGAGGATCAAGAAGACTGTAGCTGTTGAAGCTACGACTGTGCAATTGAACGAGAACGGTGTCTACTTAAGATTGACTGTCGTGGATTGTCCAGGTTTCGGCGATGCTGTAGACAACAGTAACTGTTGGAAACCTATCATAGATTATATCGAGACGAAATACGAAGATTACCTTACTGAAGAGTCAAAAGTTAACAGGATGATTTTAAGGGATGAACGCGTCCACTGCTGCTTGTACTTCATCCAACCTTCTGGTCACGGTTTAAAGAATTTAGACATTCAATCGATGAAGAGGCTCAGCTCTAAAGTGAATCTGATCCCGATCATAGCCAAAGCTGATACTTTAACCGTAGACGAACGCGTTTCATTCAAGAAGCAAATCTTAGAGGAAATCGCTGAAAACAACATTAAAATCTACAAGTTTCCTGAAGACGAAGACGATTTGGACGGTTCGCAAAACGAGCGTTTTCCTTTCGCCGTCGTCGGCTCGAACACGATCTACGAAGTCGATGGTAAAAACGTCAGGGGAAGACAATACCCTTGGGGCGTCATCAACGTAGAGGATTCCGAGCATTGCGATTTCACAGCTCTGCGAAACACTTTGATCTGCACTCACATGCAGGACTTAATCGATGTCACGAACGAAGTGCATTATGAGAATTACAGATCGAAACGTTTGGCTTCTTTGGGCATAACTGGGAAGATCACGCAATTATCCAACAAGAATCCTATCGCGTTGATTGCAGAGGAAAAGCGCGAACGTGTTGATAAATTGAAGAATATCGAAGAGGAGCTGCAGAAGTCGTTCGATGAAAATGTGCAGCAGAAGATGGAGAGGTTGAGGATTCTCGAGGAAGAGTTGCAGGCGGAATATGTGACCAATCAGTGGCTGCTCGAAGCTCAGAAGAAGGATTTGGTGGAGAGGAAAAAGAAATTCGAGGAAGAGCGCGAGAATAATCCGGTTAAAACTATGTCCAGATCTAATGAGAGCGTCGACGGGAAAAAGTCCAAATTGAAGAATTTGTTCCATAAAAACGCTTAAATTCTTCCTTTTTTTATATGTAAATATTTAGAGTGTTTTAGTTTTAATATTATAGTTTAAGTAGTGTGAATATTGTAGTACATTTATAGTAAATATATTATTAAACCAATTTTTAAAAAAATCTCATAGAAATTTCATTTTTTACAGTAATTTTCTAAGCAAACCACAGTTTGTGATATTATTTTGTCATTAATACAAAACCTAAATAAATATTTAACTTATATAACAAAAAAAATGTATTTGAATCCATGTGAAATTTACTTTTGACTCATTTTTTTGATATTTTTATGTTTTTATATCATGTATTTCATAATTAAAAATAAAGATGTTTATTTTTTATTTATTTTTTTTTGAAAATTTAAGTTTCTTTTTCTCTAAATTTTAACAAAATATTCAATTGAAGAAATAATCCAAATCATTTTTGTAGTAATTATTCAAAAATACTCAAAATCTGTTGCAATTGAAAAAGTATAATGAAACATAGAAAATTTAAGATTTGAGAATGGTTTAAAAAGTTGTAAATTTTACTTTTTTATATGTAAATATTTAGTGTGTTTTAGTTTTAATATTATAGTTTAAGTAGTGTGAATATTGTAGTACATTTATAGTAAATATATTATTGAACCAATTTTTAGAAAATCCCATAGAAATTTCATTGTTTACAGTAATTTTCTAAGCAAACTACAGTTTGTGATATTATTTTGTCATTAATACAAAACCTAAATAAATATTAACTTATATAAAAAAAAATGTATTTGAATCCATGTGAAATTTACTTTTGACTCATTTTTTGGATATTTTTAGGTTTTTATATCATGTATTATCATAATTAACAATATGAAACAATAAATTTTTTTGAAAATTTATGTTTCTTTTTCTCTAAATTTTAACAGAATATTCAATTGAAGAAATAATCCAAATCATTTTTGTACTAATTATTCAAAAATACTCAAAATCTGTTGCAATTGAAAATGTATAATGAAACATAGAAAATTTAAGATTTGAGAATGGTTTAAAAAGTTGTAAATTTTACTTTTTTATATGTAAATATTTAGTGTGTTTTAGTTTTAATATTATAGTTTAAGTAGTGTGAATATTGTAGTGCATTTATAGTAAATATATTATTAAACCAATTTTTAAAAAATCTCATAGAAATTTCATTCTTTACAGTAATTTTCTAAGCAAACCACAGTTTGTGATATTATTTTGTCATTAATACAAAACCTAAATAAATATTAACTTATATAAAAAAAATGTATTTGAATCCATGTGAAGTTTACTTTTGACTCATTTTTTGGATATTTTTAGGTTTTTATATCATGTATTACATAATTAACAATATATTGAAACAATAAAGATGTTTATTTTTTTTTGAAAATTTATGTTTCTTTTTCTCTAAATTTTAACAAAATATTCAATTGAAGAAATAATCCAAATCATTTTTGTAGTAATTATTGAAAAATACTCAAAATCTGTTGCAATTGAAAAAGTATAATGAAACATAGAAAATTTAAGATTTGAGAATGGTTTAAAAAGTTGTAAATTTAACTTTTTTATATGTAAATATTTAGTGTGTTTTAGTTTTAATATTATAGTTTAAGTAGTGTGAATATTGTAGTACATTTATAGTAAATATATTATTAAACAAATTTTTAAAAAAATCTCATAGAAATTTCATTTTTTACAGTAATTTTCTAAATCCCATCAAAATTCTGAAATTATTTGTAGTAATTCTCTAAATCCCATCAAAATTCTTTAGAAATATCACATTCTTATGTAAAGTAAAGATGAAAGATTAATTAGGAAAAATTAATATAAAATTTAAAATAATGAAAAAAAAAATTAAGAGATACGGCTTATCAGTGCGTCGATAATGCGACAAATTTTCAGTTCGTAACTAAAGATGACGGCGAAATCACCGAACTCGCGAACACAAGCGGATATTTTCGAGGATTTAGAGTGGAAAGAAGTATGCTTCTGCAAGAAACTAGAAGAAATCGCCAACGTAATTACTAATAAAACCTCACAATTTGATCATCTCAACTGAAGCTTACTGTTTTTTTTTAAGGACAAACTATTGAATTCCAAAGATCACATCAACTTCGAATTGAGCGTTTCCAGTTACCTGACTTCTATACTCATGTACAGCAAAACGCAGTTTTTACCATTCCTCCAATCTCTTCAAGAATTCGACCATCAGAATCTTCTAAAATGGATCATCAATAACGTACAGCAACAAAAATAACATTAATTGAAATAATTGATGTTTTTTCTTTTTCTTTTTAGAAAGCAATGTTTCGTTTGTACGAAGACTTCTTTGAAATTGAATCGTATTTGCTTTGGCTGCACGCGTTCTGTCAGGACGATTTTCCCGTAAATTATTTAGTTTACTTTCTTTAATTATAATATAAATATTATTCTAGATTATGGATAAATTTTACGTGAAAGTTCCGAACGGTAAAAAAGAATCTTTCGTGGAAGCTCACTTGAATTCTCTGCAGTTCTCTATGAAAGAGTTGAAAGATGTTTGTGATTCGAACGACGATTTCGAACGCGCAATTTCTGTAATTGTTAAGAGCAAAAAACGATTACGGAATAAATGCAAGTAGGTTTTAATCTTATTTATTTTACTAACTCTTATTAATATAATTTAATTAGTATACTTTTGGGTGAAATCATGGCGCAGGAGAGAAAAAATATTCGGAAATTGGGGGATTATATTAAGGTGATTTCATAATCGGCGGATATATCCGCCCTATCTTTTAATCGAGGCGCCGTTAAATCTTTGACTTTAGCAATTTTTTCTTCAGGATTTCAACAGATTTAGCGATAATTTCACTGAAACTAGACGAAAGAAACTATACGGAAATGCGCAGGAGATTCTGGTGAATCAAAAGCCTTTGCTTGGGGAACTGGAGATGCATTTCCAGAACGGCGATGTTTCCGAATTTTTCCAAACCTTTTTAAATTACGTACATTTATTCGGAAATTTGTTATTTCCTTTCTTTTAAATATTTTTTTTTACAGAAAGACGTTTTCGATTTGTATCCTTCGGGCATGTTTCTAATAGACGATAAGGCTCAAGCGTATCACAGGGAAACTTACAGATTGGATTTGTGCATAGAACCGACGCAAGAGATGTTGAGAATGTATGGGGAGTTTATGAGGAAAGCTTTGAAAATGTTTGATTCGGAGAAGATTGTTCTGGAAATCGTTAGGAAAGTGTTGGAGATGATCACGAATTTATCTTGGTTAAGCAACGAGTATTTGGCTATAAAAGCTATAAAAGATACGAACGTACTATAAAAAATTACAAAGTAAAATCAATTAAAGTATAAAGTATTGTTTTTAGATTGATCTGGGTGAGCAAGGGCAGCTTCTGAAACGCGGCATGCTTCAAGTAACAATTAAACAGCAGCAAAATGAATTCGAGGTTTTTCTGTTCGAAAAATCTATAGTTTTCACTAAAAGAACGACACAAGTGCGTTAAAATGTTAATTTTATGATTTATTATGAAATATTGAAATATTTTGTAGAGCAACGATTATGAAGATCACGTCTTGACGATGAACATGAGATGCTACAAATTCCACAACGAAAAGATCACTTTTTTCGATAGGTACGAACACAAGGATCGTCATTTGGTAACGATCAAATCTTCGGAGTCTAACATCGAGGATTGGCATAATCTGTTGAAAACCGTTTGGATTAACATTGATAATAGTTAAAGACTTGAAATGTTTTAGTAAATTTGATTAATTTTAAGTTTTATGTACAAAAATTATGAAATAAATTTCGATGCAATTCTAATTTTAAAACTGTGCACTTTTAAGTTCTATTTTAGTTTCATAATGAAAAGTTTTATCGAATCTTATCATGATGTAATGATGTTACCGTTAATATTTACACATACAATACAATAAAAATGAAAATTGAAACATTCCTCTTCTAATTATCTTTTTTTTTGCAATCGATAAGGTCGCTCTGCTACAATACCTTTAAACTCGCGCCGATAACGATGAGATTAGATAAGCTAATAAATTATTTTTTTTTGTATGTTCGCCATTAGTTTCATGGCATTTGCGACGCGCTGAGATGTCACCAAATGGTCCGAAGACCGGTGAAGAGATGGAGAGTCCTCGAACAGTGGGAAATTCAAAGTTTTGGCCACCGACGACCGCCACCGAAGAGGATCTGGTTGCAAGATTCGAAACGTCCCTGTACTTCAACGAGGACGTGCGCGACGAGTTGGTGGAGCCTAAAGTTGATGTGATAAGATTCTGTGGACCCGGTTTGGATATCGAAGAAGTCCGTCGAAGGGCGAAGAACGTGTCCGAATTGTACATTGCGGAATTGGAGAAGGCAGGGGACGATTTGGTGGACGACGATTTGGAGTACGTGACTTTGAAGGATCGAAGATTTATTTGGTCCGGAACTTTTCCGATCGAAGAGGAGGACGAGGATGGACAACAAGTGGAGTTTTTAGAGAAGAATGAAGATGAGAATAGTTTACAAGTTGTTAAAGAGAACGAGGACGATTCTGGAGCGCAGATCGAGGTCGTCGAACCTAGGAAACACGATTTCGAAGACAACTCCTTCGACAAGTCAGTAAATTTGTTACAAAAAAAAGCAATTAAAAATTAAACAATTTGATTACAGAAAGGAACATATTGTAGCTGAACTGATAGACACAGAATTGAAGTACATAGCGAGTCTCAAATACGCAGTGGATGTAAGTTAATTATAACTGAACAATTCATAAACATTATAATTTCTTTTTCGTTTTCAGAATTATCAGAATTACTTGAAACGTAGAATGTCGAATGTTTCGTTCATTTTCAGCAATGTCGAGGATATAATAAATTACAGTATTGTTTTCTTGGAAGCCTTGACGGAATATCAATCGGATTATCATGGAATTGGATGGGTTTTCTTGAATCAAGTAAGTTGGATTTGTTGTTTTGTTTTCAATATTTTGTTTTACTAGAAATTGTTTGTGTTAATTGATTGCGTGCAATTCTATTAAGTAATGTAATTAATTAAGATCGTAGAAGGCAGAAATGATGAGTATTAGAAATAATCTATATCATTTGATAATCTCGAATTTTCGTTATTGTTTCATACAATAGCATCAATTTAAAATCGATTAATATAAAATTATTGTTTGAAAAATAAATGAAGAACGAATGAAGAACGAATGAAGAACGAATGAAGAACGAATGAAGAACGAATGAAGAACGAATCAAAAACGAATGAAGAACGAATGAAGAATGAATCTTTGTTTGCATATTTTGAATAAATGTTTATTTTCATTGAAAAAGAAATAGTTTTATTTTAATTTTTTTCAGGAGAAATTGTTCAATTTATACCCGTATTATGGAAGCCACAAACAGCGTTCCAACGATCTCCTCATCGAGCATAAAGATATAGTTATGGTAATTTCTTATAACTACCACCAAATATTAAATCAAAGTTAATTTATTTTCTATATTTCAGGAAAGAGAATTACAAATTAAAGATAGACTCGGCTTAAAAAGTCACCTTCTGAAACCGATTCAAAGGTTAACCAAATACAAACTCCTCCTGGAGAGTCTTCAGAAAAGTCTACGGAAATCCGGCGAATCTTCCGACTACTTGGATCGAGCAATCTTGCTGATAGCCAAATACTTGACGAAGACCAACGATGCCGTTCTTCTAGCTTCGATCAAAGATAATCCTTACAGCTGCTCGAAATGCGGCGATCTCATCTTCTACGACGACTACAAGCTGCTGCAACCCAGTCGCATGGACATCGTCTTGTTCCTCTTCAGCAAGATGATCATTTTCGCGAAAAGAGATGCTGTTAGTTTCATCAATAATTCATTCAATAGTTGGATAGAGAAATAACGTATAAATGATTGCAGTGCACGAAAAGTTTCTTCTACAAAGACCGCATCCATTTGGAGAACCTGTATCGATCGATCGACGAGGACAAATTCACCATTACTCTGCAGAACTACAGAAGACTCGGTGTACAATTCGTGATCAAAGCTAAAGACTACGAATCTTTGCACAGATGTTCCGGAAAAATCGACGAACTTCTCATGATTCAGTTGAAAAAGAAACGAAGTATTATTCATTTTCTCAACAATTTTACTGAAACTTAACATGTTTTCGTTGCTTCAGCTGAAATCAGGAAGTTGTACGAAGAGGATATAAGCGACGAAGAGATGATTAAAGGTGATGAAATTCAGGTGAAAAGTAAAAGTCGTACGCCTGTTCCGACTCCCAGAACGAAGATAATCCATAGGGGAACCACAATAGGCGGCGGTGATAACAGTAAGATACGATGATTCACTTGTTTATCTCAGACTAAAATAACAATTTTCACATAACATCGCAATCTATATCTTCAAGATAATTGCAAAACTTAATTACATTCAATTAAATACTAATTTCTTGTTAAGACATCATCTTTAATCCATCGAATTTTTAGTCTTAAATCGCACTTTTTCATTGTCACAATTTACCTTATCTGATATATTGACACATTATATTAACCGGTTTGTAACGAATTGCGTAATTCAGATTACCTGACTAATCGTGACCAAGTTCACATCTCGCAACATTCACCTTCAAATCTATGACTAACTCTGAAAACGCAAGAGTTGAATAACCATTTCCATCGCTTGATTTGAACTACTTCATTTGAACTACCCATCAAAATGTGAGTGTAATTTATTTGTTGCAGGAAATACGCCATTAGTTAAGAATACTCAAAAACCAGAAGAAAGCAGAGATCAATTAGGTAATTACCAATAAAAATTAATTGTATTTTCATCCAATATTTCATCAATTATCTCTAAAATTATTTGAAATCAAATTGTTTCTATTTTTGATTGATTTGCAAGTGAAAATAATTACAAAAAAACTGAATTGATTGCAATTGAAATGTAATATTTATTATCTTTTTCATTCAAGATACGGCACCTCCGATTACTGAAAGGATTTTTCAGGATCTTTCTCAAGCTTTTAAATCAAAAGGTGAGCTGTATTTTTTTTTATTTTGAAAGTTATTTTATTAATTTTGATTTTGCAGTTGATAAATTTCGGAGATCTTCGATTCCGAAGAAATCCGATGAATCTTTGGCAACTGCTTCGACCTCAACCGCCAAAGCTAAAAGCAAGAAAAAGAAGCAGAAAGCGGGAATGTACACGAATACCAAGTACATGGGTTATTACATGTCAGCTTTGAGATAATTTGAAATGCTTTGGATGTGATAATTCCAAGATAAAAAAAAGTTAAAATCCAACAATCTTTGGATGTAATTAATACTCTCATCGTGATCAAATTTCTTTGGCGGTTTGTGTTGAAGTGAAGATCAACAATAGAAGTTTGTGGATTTTGCAAATTTTAAATACTTTATTTAATTAAACTATCGAAAAATTGTTACAAAAGTATAAACATGTTTTCTATATTTTTTGTGAAATGAACATGAAAAGTAGTGTTGAAGTGAAGATGAAGTGTTAAAGTTACTAGTTACAAAGAAAATGCAGATGATGCAACGAATTGTATCGAAAATGTGGACGAAAATTAAGTGAGAAAATTAAGGTTTACAAAATGTTATAGATGATGCAGGAAATGCAAATCGTTTCTTTAAAAAAAAATTATTGTGAAACTAGTGTTGAAGTGAAGATAAACTGTAAAAGTTTGAATATTATGTAATTAAAAAATGTAATTCGAAATCGTGTAAATATGTATAAAATTTTTGTTAATGTTATAAAAATAAAAAATGATTTTTTTCCGTGTCGTTTTTTTCAAGTTTGTCATAAAAGAGAAACTGTTTATTTGCGATTCGTTTGCTTTACCCGTTATTACGACGCTAATTGATCTCGACCTTATGACTTCTGGACAGGACCGAACTTAAAAGAATACAAAAAAAAAATTGAAAAAATAATTACAAAAATTGGATTTTCTTTCATTTTTCAAAACAAATCATATATTCTATGAAATCTATGATAAAACACTACAAATTGTATTTAAAACATATACATTTAATGATAATTACTTGAGATTTCTTTGTTTATTGTTTTAGAACAAAAATTGTAAAAATTTCAATTGAAAATAAACGTAGTAAATTATTGTTTATAATGAAATAAATTACATAATTAGTTTGGGAATTCTGTTTTATTTGTTCTTAATACAAATAATTGTGATGTTAATTGTTCATAGACAGGGCCGAATTCAAAATTCTATTGAAAAATTTACATTTTTTGTAATGATTACAAAATCAAATTTTATCACTTTTCATTTTAGTAATTAGTAAAGTTCATCCACAATTACAGACAAATGGATAAAACCACAATAATGTGTGATTACTGTTAACATTCCCCAAACATTCAACTTTCATATGCATCTTTTGGATCCATTCTATCTATTATAGTTTTCGAGAAAATCAATGAAATGTGAAAACACTGCTTTTCGAGCATTTTTTAAACTTTGAACACGAATTACAGCCAAACGGATAAAACCACAGTAATATATGAATACTTGTTAGATTCCTCAAATATTCAACTTTCATATGCATCTTTTGGATCAATAGAATGTGAAGACACTGTATTTTTTTCATCCATAATCTGTTGATTTTTTTTAGCTGTGTCAATTGTAAATTTGTAAAAAAATGTGAATCCGTCCCTGGACGTTGGCTTTTATTATTTGTGGCCAAATTTACGATAAAATGATTACGATAAGATAGATGAATGATTCAGAGGCGTGGTGAGTGTGTGTGTGTGTGTGTGAAGAAGAGAGACGTATAGTGTAGATCAATTAGTTGTAATAATAGTTGAAGTGATGGCAGCATCCGATGAGGATGTAGCACAAGAAGTGGACGAGGAGGACACGTGGAGCGATGACGCCGCTTCCGCTTCCGTCAGCGAGAAGATCCGTCAGTTCGAGAGCGGAGTCCATGCAGTGAGGAGGCGAAAGTTGGCTAGAATCGCGGAATTCGAAGCGGAAATCTACTTCGACGATGCGAAAAAGAATGAGGTTTTGGTCGAGGAAGCGCGACGGACTGCGTTGGAAGAGAGCGACGAGTACAAGAACAATTTCAGCAGCGATTCCTGCTGCGACGAGTTCGAGAATGCGGTCTACTTCGATGGAAGCAGGAAGAATCGGATTCTGATGGAGGAGGCGAGAAAGGCGGCTCTGCGGGAATCTAAACAGTACAGGGAGTTGGTTTCAAAGGAAGTTCAATTGTCGACGAAGAAGTGGTCAAATGTGGGAAGTTACGAGGACTCTGAGGCGGTGCAGAAGTTTGAAGAGGAAGTTTACTTGGATTCGGATCGAAAGAATGAGATTCTTATAGAAGAGTTGAGACGTGAAGCTGCGGAGAAGTGCAATGTTTATAGTAGATTGTTTAAGAATGTCGATGATTATAGTGATGATGATGGGGAAGATGAAGTGGTTGAAGATGAAAACGATAGATGGATCATCAGGGAAGACTTTGTTCTACTCATCGTCGTCTGTATGATGTGGCTTACCTTGCAATTCTTGTTCTTATTAGTTAGATAACATTTAAATTATTTAAAACAAACAACAACATTGTTCCTACTCAATCTCTATTTTTATACCAAAAATTATAAATTATTTTTTTACATTAAAATCTGTTTTTTTTTTACAAATTTCCTTTATCCCAGTTACATATTTGTTTATTTCTTAATTATAAATGTTTAGTAGATTCAGAATTTTCAGACTTAAGAGAATTACAAATGTAATCCTCAAGATTTAGTAAATTTTATACCTTGTGTATAAGTATACTAAAATTCAATGATTTTTTTTTTGAAACAATGCATTTCTCTTAATAAAGTAACAAATATAATCATATTTACTTTGATTTTAAGGTAATATAATGATTGTCAAAGAGTTTTGTGATAGGCAACCAAACATACGCCAAGTTTTATAACTTTGAACGCGAATCACCGCTCTCTCAGATAAGAGACAAAAATTTCAATAAAATTAATAAAACTACAGTAATTTGCTATTACTGGTTACATTCCCCAAACATTCAGCTTAACTATAATACTTAGAATGAATCCAAAAGATGCATATGA